GATCAATGGAATACATTAGAAGATACAACCACAACTACAAACACACTCAACCACCTTATCTTTAATAAGGAGCCAAACAGGTTCACTGGAAGAACGACAGTCTCTTTAATAAATGGTATTGGAAGGGGCTGGGGATTTAGCTCAACGGCATAAGCACCTGCCTTGCAAGCAGGCGGTCGTGAGTTCAATCCTTGGTACCGATAAAAATGAAAAAGACAAAAAAATAAATAAATAAATAAATAAATAAATAGTATTGGAAAAACTGGCTCTCCATTTTCCAAAAACGAAAACTAGACCCATGCTTATCACCATGTACTAAATTAAAATCTAAGTGGATCAAAGATCTGAATATTAAAACAGAAAAACTAAATCTATTGGAAGACAAATTGGGTAGAAACCTTGAAGACATAGGGGTAGGTAGAGAATTCATGAACAGGACTCAAACTTCACGGGAAATACTTCCCAGAATCAGTAACTGGGACCACCTCTTATTAAAAAGTTTCTGCATGTCAAAAAAATATCCAGCATAGTGAAAAGAAAACCCACAAACTGGGAAAAAAATCTTAGCTAACTCTCCCTCAGACAAGGGACTTCTATCTAAAACATATAAAGAATTAAAAAAAAAGACCCCCAAAATTCAAAGATCCAATCCAAAAATGGGCATCTGAGATGAACACACACTTCTCAAATGAAGAAATACAAATGACAAATAAATACATGAAAAAATATTCATCATAATTACTCATTAGAGAAATGCAAATTAAAACCACACTGAGATTCCATCTCACTCCTGAAAGAATGGCCAGGATCAAGAAAACCAACAACAACAAATGCTGGAATGGCTGTAGGGAAAAAGGAACTCTCCTACACTGTTGGTGGGAGTGCAGACTGGTACAACCATTGTGGAGGTCACTTTGGAGACTCCTCAAAATCTGGGATTGGAAGTCCCATTTGTTCCAGCTATTCCACTTCTAGGCATATTCCCAGAAGAACTGAAAACATCATACCACAGTGATATATGTGCACCTATATTTATAGCAGCACAATTTGTAATCGCCAGATCTTAGAAACAACCCCTGTGTCCATCAACTGAGGAATGGATAAAAAAGTTGTGGTTTTTTATACAATGGAGTACTACTCAGCTATCAATAAGGATCACATTGAGATATTTATAAATAAATGGGCGCAGCTTGAGACCATACTCATAAGTGAACTAAATCAATCTCGCATGTGTGAATACCGAATAGTTTTCCTATTGTAAGAAATGATTCAAATATATAAAAGTATGTGGTAATCATGATTCCCCAATGTGTGGTCTTGAAGCCTTATAAAGTTTTCACTCATTAATTGGAATGGCTTTGTGCTGGGATGCTTGATATTATTGCCTGTGATGAAATGAACAGCTATTTTGAGGAAAACAAGACATCGTAATAGCTAGTGCTGATTTAATATCATCTTGTTTTGAAGCCCCACAAACTGTTGCTCTTCTGTCTCCATTGGTTTTATCATGTTGTATCTTACTGGATTTTATTATATGTGATAGTATAAACAAAAATTTTATAGGCAAAGAGATAATATAGAAACCATTGTTCATTTTCCGTTAGCTGGTTCTAAATACCTTGTAATACTTTCATCCACTTGAATGGTTTCACACTGTGTTGATATATTTGATGCTATAATATATGAAGTTATATTCAAATATTTCAAGGAAAGAGACACTATGGTAACTACTATTAAGTCGGGTTATTGGGTGGTGAAGCACTAGGTTGCTGTAATTGTCATGCTTTGATCTGTATTGTTATGTTGTTATGTCCTCTTTTATCTCAATCTCCCCCTTATTCATTAAAAAATTATTTTTTTATTATTTTTTAATTAAGGGAAAAATAAAAAATAGCAGGATATATTATAGCAACTTTTTTTGATTTCCTATTAACTTGATTTGAAGCCCTATGTTACTCCCACTATCTTGTTTTGACTGGTCAGACTCTGTTCCGTTTTGTTTGATAGTATCAAGTTTGAGGATATAGGCAACTACTTTGAAAGCAATAAGTTTAACTATGATGCCCATTCTGCTTTGGCTATTGTCTTCTTTTGAAGTCCTGTAATGTTTCCAATGTTTAGGTTTTATTGTTTTGTTCTATACTGTTTTGTTTAATTTTATCATACCTAATGATATACGCAATTCTTTTTAAGGAAGCAAGAGGCATTATGGCAACCATTGTTGATAACCTTGTACTTTGTTTTTACATCATGTGCTATGTCTATTCTTTGTTTTGACTGACTGCTTTGTTTTGTCATATTTGGTTTTATTTTCTTCCAAGAAAAAGTAATAAGAACTATGGGAGTAATAAAACCCAAAATGTTTAAATTTTGTTGTAGAAAAGAGAGGGGGAAAAGTGCTCTAAAGGATACAACTGCAAGTGTGTTTAGGTGTGTTAAGACAGATGACCATATTAATGAGTTTTTGTTGGATCACTGAACACAACTGTTTGCAGTCTCACTGATTGAATGTCCACTTTGCATGCTTTAATCCTGTAACTTGAACAACTATTTCTAAGATGACAATATGTAATCTATTAACCAGTGATTTATTACCATTTTTTGTAATTCTGTATTACTTGTACCCTTATACTGTTTTGTTTTGTTTTTCTTTTTTTTCCTTTTAAATAAAAAAATATTATCGATAAACATGTCATCAGAAACCATCATTTCTTTATCCCTGAATCATTTGGTTTTAATCATATTTTTCTTTCAAAAAAGAGAAAACATGAATCCTTCTGCTCCCACAGCATCTGGCTTAGTCCCCAAAGTCTGAAGCAAGGTTTGTCAGAGCTGGCACCAAAATCTCCTGCCCCCTGCTGGGATTGAGAAAGAGGCTTGATTGGGAACTCAGGAAGAAGTGCAGATGCTACTTACAGAAGTGCGGAAGAACAAAGACCTTCAACTTCCTAGACTTTTAACAATGAATACGAAACCTAAATGTGCCACAGTTATCCTTTTGCCATGGAAGGACCAAGGACAGGCTGTGAATGACAATGGAAGAGAAATGAAATTACAGGGTCATGAGAGGTGCCACCCATCTTCTGAAGCCAGCAGCACTGGAGACACACATTTGGTTCCAACTTTTCCCTGCCGTAGGAAGTTAAGGAAAAATAGAACAATTGGATTGCATTTCCAGCTATACGGAATATAAAGCATCTTGATTGAATTTCAGTCATATGTTTTTAATTCTACCTTATAATTTCATAAAACTGTTGATATGTAGCTTGGCATAAATTATTTCTTCTTCTGGGGAAACAAAGTCACAGTGAATTTGCAACCCATAGTGTACCTGAATGAACCTCACTATGAGCCCTGGAATTTCACACAGGAAAATCAGCTTTGCACAAAGAAATCATGAGGTAATTGAAATGAGGCAGAATAATGCACAATCTGCTTACTTAAAAATAGGCACTGTAGAGGAACACAAAAAGCCTGTGTTCAAATGATTTTTGTTCTTAGCTCTTAAATTTCAGAATTCTTTACATTTTGATTTGGCTTACATTTGAATCTAACTACTTTTGCATGGAACAGAAGACCAGAGTTCTTCGTCTTTTTGAAACAATGTGTGTGCTGCCCAGGATGATCATCCAACTACTCTGTTCTAGCATAAGATGACATCTATCACGGAGATATAGACACTAATTTACAATAATACTTGTACAATATTTTGGAGAGGCGTTTTATCTTTCCTGCTTGTTCCTTCCATATAATTGTGATCACATGTTTCAGTTAACATGTCTGTTTTATTTTTAACCATGGGGTTTTAAATTTTAATCCAATTTAAAATATATTTTAAATTAAGAAACCATTGACAGAGTAAAAAGACAACCCACAGAATGGAAAAATATTTTAACCAACTGTCTCCTCAAATTCAGAGACCTGGTCAAAAAATTAATGTGGACATCTGAGATGAACACATAAGTCTCAAATGAAGAAATACAAATAGTAAGTAAGTATATGAAAAAATGTTTGACATCACTGGTCATTCAAATTAAAACAACACTGAAATTCCTTCTCTCTTCAGAAAGAATGGCTAAGATAAGAAATCAACCAATAACAAATGTTGGTGGGGCTGTGTGGAAAAAGGAACTCTTCTTCACTGTTGGTGGGAGTGCAGACTAGTGCAACCACTCTGGAAATCAGTGTGAAGATTTCGCAACACACTAAAATTAGAGGTTCAGTTCCACCCAGGTATTCCTCTTTTGGGTATTTTCCCAGGAGAATTGAAAACATCATACCACAGTGATGTATGTACACCCACATTTATAGCAGCACAACTTGTAATAGCTAAATCTTGGAAACAACTCAAATGCCCATTAACTGCAAATTGCATAAAACGAATGTGATATTTTTATCCAAAGGAGTACCAATCAGCTATAAAGAAAGACAAAGTTTAGACTTTAATAGGTAAATGGACACAACTGGAGAACATACTAATAAGTGAAATAAATCAGATGCACAAGTGTAAATCCGTATTGTCTCCTCAGTGGAAAAACTGAAAGAGTACATAAGATTCAAGATGTACACTAGATATTGTGAAAGTGAGAGGGGACAAAACTGCTCAAATGGAAAGAACAACTAGGTTGGGGGAAAGGAGAGAATAAAGAAGGGAAAAGATTTTACACATTTATATTTATATATTATCATTGTTTGATCACTTCTTATGCCTATATGTTGTAAGCTGAGCTACTACTTTGAAAATATCAATATGCAATATAGTAACCATTTTTAATCTTCTATGTTGTTTCAAATTCTGTAAGTTGTTTTTATTCTTTTTTGTTTTAAAATAAAAAACTGATTAATATTTGGTAAACTAAATAAATTAGAAGGAGCAGTTGCATACATGTATTTCCTAGAATGTGAAGCTTTCATCTCTAGACACTGAGAAATGGCTAAAACAACTCAAGTAACACACGCATCCTCTCACACACTTATCATGAACAAATAAAAACCAGTGGTTCACCAGTGATGTCGTCCTCCTGTTTACTTATAGTTTCTGACCTTAAAATTATAATAAGCAGGTGATTTTCAACTCCATGTTTCTTTGAAGAAGATATAACAGAGCAACGTTGCACAAGGAGTATAGAAGCCCTGAGCAGGGTCCAGGAGGGGAGGGAGGGAAGGCCTGCGGTCTGGGCTTCCAGGTGGGGCCCGAGGGCTGAGGAAGCTCTCGGGGAGGACGAGCCTCTCTCTGTGGGAGAACGAGAGTCAGGCAGGAAGCCTGACACAACATGGAGAAGTCTTGGAGAGCAGGGACACGGGCCCTTCCTTCAGGGCTGTCACCATCTCCTTAGCTCCGGAGTCCTGCAGGGACAGAGGACAGCAGAGTTTCCACACCTCTCTCTGAATGCAGCTCCTCTTCCCTCTCAGGATTGCACTGCAGTAAGCAAAGTAAAACACTCTTAGGTCTCCCTGAGCCAATGCTGTGTCAGAGCTCAGGGTTCTGTCACGTGCAATGCGGAAGGTGTCCTACAAAAGGTTTAGTGCGGATCAGAACTATGCTCTCAAAATCTTTTGTATTATATCTACTTCATATCTCATCCCTTTTACAGTCCCTTGTAGCTAGTGTAAATCTGTCTATGGAAGAGGATTCTAGAATATTACCTGTTGGTTGAACTCCTGAGTGTCCTAGAAAAGACCGAAGTAGAGACTTTACAGACCTGGAGGAAAACCGCTTTCCCAACATAGTGAGCCCAGTGTCAGGTCTGCTACCTGAGATTCGTCTGTCACCAAAAACCCTGGCAGACCTAGAAGCACAAACTATGTGAATTTACTGAGGAAGCTTCTGCCCTGTGAATCCCCTGTCCAGTGCTCTTGCTTCTTTACCCACAGCTCTCCACCCAGCGTTTCTAGGCTGCTCATCCTGCCCCTTGAGTCTGCAAGGCATAGACATAGGGCTTCAAAAAAGATCTAAAAATAGTTGATTTCTGAACTTTCAGGAAATTGGAGATACACTGAGGGAAGAAGGGTATCACATAGGGACAGCAAAGTTCTTTACCATGGGAACATAGTGCATCTTCCTCTGAAAAAGGATGTAAAGAGTTAGCCACTGTGAGGCACAAAGTAGACCAGATGCTCCCAGCCTCAACCGGTTTGCCAAGAGGCATTGTTCTCAGGGAAAGCACAGCTCAGCACTGAGGCTGTCATCTGCAAGCACAGGATGTCATAGAAGAAAAAATATAGGACAAAATGTCTTGCATGTCCCAGATATCAGGAGACACTGGAAAATTTACATGGGACCCTCAAGGACTTTCATCCAGAGTACAAGATTGCCAGACAGCTTTAAGCTCAGGTGTCAATTAATATTTTTCCACCTGATGTTCCTTGCTCACTTTCAGTCCCTACAGAAGGCGCACAATTTTCTTTGATTCCTAGAGAAGGCCTTATGGCCTGCACTCGGGTACAATCAATTCCGTGTGCCACGTTCCTACTGTTCTCTGCCTCCCACCTTGTCTTACAGACACTAATCGGCATCTTACCTTTTTGATTCCTGGAGTAGATGAGCATCCCCGACTCAAGGAAGAGCAGACCCAGCACAAAGCCTCCAGCTCCACTCAGCATCTTGCTCTGTACAGATCCAGACTGTGGCCCTGAGAGAAGAATCCATGATTAGGAATTTTTTAAGTTTTATTATCCTGAATCCAAGTGTCCTCCTTAGAACACTGAGATTCAGAATTTGAAGACCAGAGGAAAGATGCCTGCATCAAAAGAAGAATTGGCCATTGTTCAGAAAAATGATGTAAAAATTGCATTAGTTAGGTGCAAGGCTCATGCACTTAGTTCAATTAAATCTCACGGCCCTAAAATATCAAACTGCGGTGCAGTGTCTGAGTTCAGTGCGGTTAAATAGGCATCTGGGATGACAGAGCTGATGAACGGCAGAGCAGAGGGTGAATTCCTGTCCTTCAGGGAGACGCTGCAGTGCTCCGCCTCACAGATCATAATTAACAGTGCAGAGCTCAACATCAGAGACACAAAACCAGCCCGGAGGCAGGGTGTGGAAATAGGACCAAGGCGTGATTATCCTCAGTTATAAAGTGAGAAGGTTCAGAGTAGAGACACTTGTCTTCTGTATGACAGGCACCATTGTTTGCTGAAGGTGTACAAGTGTTTGTAGCAACTTTTGAGACCTCCCCACCATAAGTGGTCTAAAGGAGATGCAAAATGAAAGCAAATGAAGAGACAGGAAACCCTGACACTCAGGGATAAAGGGAGACCCCTTTTGGGTGGGAGGGGGACTGATGAGGTCAGGGGTCCCCACTCACTCCACTCCACAGTGACAGGGCTGCTCCAGCTCACATGCTCCACCTGGCAGGCGTAAACCTCTCCGCTCTGAGGAACAGTTTCCAGCATGACCAGGATCTGGAAGGTCCAGTCTCCATTCTGGATCAGGCCTGTGGACACCACTCCAGCCTCCTGCTCCTGACCATTCTGGAACAATCTGACTTCAATGTATCCTGGGTAGAAACCACTTACAGAGCAGACCAGGAGGTTGTGGTGCTGCAGGGGCTGGGTCCTTATGAGGTACAAGGTCACCTTGTGCTCAACTAGAGGAGGAAAGGGCAGAGAGAACCAGTCAGGAAGCAGGGCAAGTCTTGGTTGGCTGCCTGTCTGCATTTCTCCAGCAACAGACCCAGGTCTTCATAGCTCCTCACACCTGCCTAGGGCTCACAGGAGCCTCTGTCATGAGCTGGTAAGTGAATCCTCATGCAAGGGCACAAGAGATTTAGAAAAAAAGATACATTTTCCATAGTTTCCGTGAACATTTGTTACTGAATAGTATTTTAAAGCCTTCCCAAAGTGAATGAATTATTGATTAAAAGTGTGATCTCTGGAGTCAAATTGCCTGGGTTCAAATCCAGGCTCTGCTTGTCCCTGGCTAATCCTGAAAGAACTTCTACATTTCTCTGTGCTTTAGTTTCCTCATCTGTAATGAGATAAGAATACTGATTCACATTGCAGTGTCATATTAGAATCAAAGCTACTAAAATACATAAGATAGGGACAAGAATTCAGCCATCAATGTGTTTTCCTTGTTTATTATTCTCCTGTTTGCTATGTGAGAATCTGAATCCCAACCCCAAGGAAAACTGGGGAGGAGCAGTGGAGTAGGAAGGGGATGGAGCATGGAATCCAGGGAATGCTCTCACCATAAAGCCACACTGGGAAGCAGGGACAGAGACATGTGACCCTCTGAGCCTCAGAGCTGAGTCACAGTAACTCAGGACTCCTGAGCAGAGGGAGAGCGGCCAGGGAACCCAATCCTTTAGGAAGCTCCTCTCTTTCACCCCCTTCCACCCAAAAGGAGAGGAATGCCGCTCCTTTACCAAACACACTTGTTAGTGTTCCCAGGCTGTGTCTGTCTTAGTTAGGTCTCAACTGACCATTGTGGTCAACACAGTGTGGGGGACTTACTAATATGTGTGTCTCGTGCCTGATACAATCCCTCACGCCAACCTCGCTAAGGGCAGCGTTGCAATAGGACAGATTTTCATAAGACCAGAAAACGACAGACATAAGATTACTGGTAAATCATTACCAACAATGGCACATCATATTTTATTAATATTTTATTAAAATATTTATATCCTACGATGAACCATATTAAACTGGAATGAAATGTAAGCCAGAAAATGGAGACGATGCTGCATAAAATAGCAAGAAGTGCAAATCTTTTTGCATAAAGAACTTTAAAATCACTTAGAAAACAGTGGACTCCAGAAAGGAAATAGGTAATTTTAGAGTAATAGTATTTGCTAGTAGGTATGGGAAAACATTGATAAACCTTATAAATCAAAAAATTAAAGTTAAAAATTAAGAGTATAGTGTCTTGGAGTACATGTGAACCTCTATATTGGAGGCTTCCCCATTGGAGAATTCATCCGTCTGTGTACCAAAACTGCTGAAAAATATGTGACTGAACTGAACATAGTCACTTTTTTCCTGTCATGTTTCCAGAAAGAATGCAACAATTATGTACATAGTATTTGAAAGGGTTTTTGGCCCAGGCCAGAGACTGTAGCCGGTAAAGCCAGGAAGCTCCTATCTCCCCCACCCTAAGGAATTACCTCTGGCGCCAAACTAAGACCAATGGGCTACCTGTGCATCCCTAATGCCCCTTAGGTTCCACCCCAAGCAGAGGCTACTTATGTGCCTCACTCCACGTGTTCCCCAGATTGATGACAGCCCTGGGGTGGAGATGCCACGCCTCAGGGGGTCGGGGTGTCTCTCCCCACATTCCCAAAATAAAGGTTATTTATATTTTATACTTCTTATCTTTTCAGCCACCTCCAGTCCTCCTCCTCCCCCCACAGTTCTATCAGTATTTACACAATGGTAGATGTTACAAGTAATTTAGACATAAATTATAATACTAAGGAGGATGTATGCATGTTATATACAAATATACTACTTTACATAACAGACTGCAATATTTTTTCATATTTCTATATTCAAGGAAATAACCCTTCCCATGTAACACTAAAGGAAAACTGAATTTGTCAGTATTTAGAGAAAAAGTTCTCATCAAATGGAATTACAGTTTGGGGTACAACCACAGGAAGAAATTATGCACAACCACTTAGATATTATTGATTCATAAAAATAGTAACATCAGTGTGTTAAGTAACACAACTCTGATCAAAAGCCAGTCTCACCTAAAGGTCTATACACCAGGCAAGCACAGTAACAAGCCCAAAACAGCAGGAAACTGAGACCCAGGAGAAGCCATGGTAAAGGTCCAGGGGCCCGGTCCCTTTCTGCCTTCACACTAACCTGACACCTTTGCCCCTGAAATGCTGGGCACATTCAGGGCACTTGTGCTTCCTGGGCTGCACCATAGAGAAGGCTGCAAGCCAAGGGCAGGGTGTGAGCAGCCTCCTCACAGCACCCCAGCTGCTGACACCCTGTGCCGTCTGCTCCCCACCCTGACCAAGGATACCCACACTGCCTGTGCCTGCTGTGAGTCTCAGCCTTCACCTCAATCCCTGCCCCCTTCACCAGCATCCAAGGCAGAGCTCCTCTCTCTTCTCTCCCCCCAGAACCCCTATCCCTCCTCTCCCCTCCTTTCAGCCCCTCCAGTGCCCACAGCCTTGCCCCTGCCCTGTTCCAGGTCAGCCTCAGGAGCCCAGGACACTCTCTCTCTCTCTCTCTCTCTCTCTCTCTCTCTCTCTCTCTCTCTCTCTCTCTCTCTCTCTCCTTCCTCTTCCTCTCATTTTGTCTGCCTCTATCTCTTCTCTTCCCTTCCCTGTCTTCCTTTCTCCCTCCCCATCTCTCTCTTCATCTCTCTTATTCTCTTTCCTTCTCTTGCTTTCTTTTCTCTCCCCCTTTCTCCTCTTCTTTCCCTGGCTTCCTTTGTCTCTCTCCATCTGTCTTGCTCCTCTGCCTCCCTTCCCTCTCCCTGGCTGTCCAGGGCCCTCCCTCACCTCTCCTCTGCACCTGGAACTTCGCAAAAATCCCGTAGTTGTGTCTGCAGTAGGTGCCGGCTGCTGCGCGCTTCTGCTCAATGAAGTCCTGCTGGCTGTTCCAGTCCTCAGCGATCGGCCGCCCCAGCTCGCTCACCGCGCGGAACTCGCCCACCTCATCGCTGTCGAAGCGCACTAACTCATCCTGGTTGTAGATGTATTTGGCCAGAAACCTCACGTGCTCCGATCCGCTGGAGAAGTGACACTCCGATTTACCTTGCAGCAGGAAACGCGCTGTGGGTAGGAGTGACCTGGTCACCGTCTCCGCCTGTAGGACACTGCCAGCCATACACGCACCAGCACCCAAACGTTCACCCTTCACCTACCCCTGGCAGAGGAATCCTCTGGGTAGGGACCCAGCTTCTCCTCCACTGAATTCCCAAATCTGCCCCTCCTGCTGGCCCAGGCACCAGCTCAGGGACAGGAATGCGATTCCCAAGTCAGCCCCGCCCCACCACCTGGTACCCAAAGACTCCGCCGAGGACACTCTCTGCCCTCTCCCTCAGCCCAGAGAGCTTCTCCCCGCCCTGCTTGGGACCCTCTCATCCAGTCTGCACAGCTCCTTCCTGCTGACCCCGCCAGGTTTGTGCTGCCCCTGCAAACCCAAAGGCAGAAAATCAGACAGCTAGGAGTTTACACTGATGAAGGGAGCAGGAGGGACAGGGGGACCCTGCAGGGCTGGGAGAGGGCAGAAGTGTGACCTCTCTTCCAAGGAAGGAAGAGCAGGAGGACCTCAGTGAGAGCAGGGAGGAGCTCTGAGGGGACTGTGGAATGGGCAAGGAAGGGTCAGTTCCAGTGAGCTGGAGACCAGTACGGCCAGGCTTGTGCTGTGGGAAAGGTAAAGGTGGTGCCATGTGCACAAGGCTCAGAGGACAACAGGGATGGACACACAGAGTGAGGGGACAGAGTGGAGATGAGGGGTGAAGATTAGGGCATGTGTCATAGCGAACTAGCCTTGTAGTTGATGCCAGGATTTGGGATTTTAAGGAATGGGAAGGCCCTGAGCAGGGTTTGGAGATTAAAATAAAATATTGATACAGGCCCACAGTTCCTTATCTGAATTTCTCAATTCAAAAAGCCACATCTCTTGGAAAATGGGATGCCAAATTCATTTTAAATGAATGGTGAGTTGAAGGTATGTCTTAGACAGCTTATGTGTCACGTGTGTTTCCTTAGTTTCAATACATAAAATTGCATATACATATAATGTACATGTAGAAGCTGTGTGGAATGGTTAATGTTTGAAGTTTTACATTTTCTTAGTATCTGTTACACATTTTGATCCTGATTCATATTTTTGGTTTCTCACACCAGAGAAACACTGTGATATTTTAGCATGCATGTGCTGTATGTTAAAGGTAACAAGACAGGGTGGGGGAGAAAGGAAGGAAGGGGAAAAAAAGAGAAGAAGTAAAAAATGGAAACAAAGCTTTTGTAGATAAAGAGGGAAGAGGAGTTAAAGGGAAGGGAGCGGCTGAGAGGGAAGAAGATGTGCACAGGTACAGTTTCCCTCAGGTGAACGTGGTCTTATGTATATCTAAAGTGTACCAATAAAATAAACCAAAGGAAATACTGCTCATATTCTGAAGCAGCTCTGGAGATTCCCTTAACTCTGTGAGGCAGATGCCAAGAGCCATCCACTGCTGGACAGAAAGTCAGGGTCATGAAAACTGTTGTTTCCTCACCCCCCCACCTTGTTCTTCTCAATAGATCTGCAGTCCTGTGGCTTCTCTCTCTTCCCCAAAGCCACAGTGACCACGAAAGGTGAATGTTTTGAGTTGATTAAAGAACCAGGACAGTGCAACCAAAGACACAAAAGAATACCTTCCAGACCTCTTCAGGAAGGGGCAAGAAGAACAGGATAAATGTGATCAAGGCAAGTGAGGATATTCTGAAGGGAACTAATTGCAGTGTGTCTTTAACTGTAATATTTTAAAATGTAAACAGTCTTCTTATTATATCTTATAAGTCATATATATATATATATGTGTGTGTATATATGTTTGCATGTATATATGTGTATATATATTTTTAGTGGTTTTGACTTTACAGTGAATCTTACTGAGAAAAGTTCAAAAAAAGATTTTCAAGTGCTGTGGTAAATATGACCTAGCATATGTAAGCATTTGACTTTAGCAATAGTGAAGAATACAGAATCATTGCAGAAGTTTGAAGTCTCCCATGGAAAAATATTTGTGTCTATGATGTTAATTTTCCATAGTTGAGAAAAATACTTGAGATAAACAACTAATAAAGAAACAAGATTTATTTTGGCTCACAGTACCCGTGTGTCAGTCCATGGTGGGCCAGACCCACTGCTATTGTTCCTGTAAAGCAATGTAACATGGCAGTGGGCATCATGGCAGTGGGCATGGAAAAATGTTCTTCTCATGGCTGGGGAATGAAGGAATGAAATACACTGACTTCACACACTCCCCTTTGAGGGCTCCCCTTCTGTGACCTGAGATCTCCGCAGTGCCCCACACCTTCAAGTGTATTCTAAACTGAAGCCCAAGTTTAACACAGGGGCTTTTGGAGAACATTCCACATCCAAGGTATGGAAACAACCTTCACTTTATAATATGTAAAGTTTTCTTAAGTTTATCATCTCCAATGCATCTCTTAATGAGCTGAAGATGTATGCAAATATCAAGGATTTTAGTAATGGTAACAGCATTGCTGTGAAAGCGTAAGAAGAATATGGAGGCAGAGGGAATCCACTGTGGCTCATTAAGGAAAAGAGAGGACAGTGCCAAATACCTATGAAATTTGGGTTAAGATCCCAATAGGTCAATCAGTTTCCTTCCCTTGCTCATCGGCTTTAGACCCTGTGAGATGTATTAGCCTTCACACTCTCTTCGTACTCCTGCTTGTCTGTGTACCGTGAAGCACAAAAAATTGTTGACAGTTTGATTGTTTTTTACTTAACTATAGATTGTCACACATCTTTTTCAGACTAGTTCAAGCCATTTTGTGGGTTCAAACCAGAAGCTGTAGCATTAGGGGAAACTGATAGTATTGAAAGATTCCAAAAAGATTAATAAAATGAACATGGACCTAGGACAGGGCTCCAGACCTGTGCTAGAGGAAACAAAGAACACCCCACAGATGCTCACTGTCTACAGCATAATTTAAAGTACAGAGAACATCTGTTCCCCTGCAAGGGGTTAAGAACAAGAGAGAGAGCACTGACCTCAACATGCATCACAGCCTCCAGCACAAAGACAGGGCTCAACCACTGGAGTTCAGAGAGCAAGGAAGAAGCTGACAGAGGACAGTTCTGGATACATCTCCACGCATACAGGAGCATCACCTCGGACCCTGGTGAGCTTGAGACATGGGGTCTACTGGGAACAGCTATTCCAATTTAGAATGCACCAAAAATTTTAGAGAAATATTTCAAGTTGAATATTTGACTGTTTTCCACTTAAAAAAAGAACAAAGCTACATACATAGAATAGAATAGATCTAAACATATAAGGTTATATGTGAAGACCCTAAAAGGGAAGAAATTGTCCCTTTTTTGTTATAAACCAACATGCTATAGAGAACTGCAATGTATAGAAATTAGTTTAATGTCAGTATTCTAAATCCCCTCAAGGCTATGATAGAAAATGATTTGAGGCTGAAGGTTTTACTGGAGCAGACTTAAAAATTAACACCTTCTGTATAGAATCTTCTTACACAGCTGGCATAGGAAGGATGCACACATACACAACTCCCTCTGGTAGGAAAGATTCAATATAGTTAAGGTAGGAAATCACTCAAGAAAATGTCCTAAGTTTTGAGGAAGTTGGCCTGGACAACATAAGAAAGTCAACATCATTCCTGCTCCCACCAACTGCAGCTCCCCAGCTAAGGTGTGCCAGAGCCAGGGGAGGAGTCAGCACCATCAGTGTAACTGTCAGAGCTGCCATGCAGGAGCCTCCAGGGAGTCTAGGACACAGCATATTGGAAGACAGAGGAGGACTAGATCAGAGTAGAGCAGTTAAACCTTATGCAGTGAGAAATACGTTCACTATCCACCTAGATTCCAAATAATAAGAACCAAGAAATTCATTTCTTTGCAGCTGGGTTGGGGAACCTCAGTGCTGAAGACCAATCAGCATCAGAGATGCATAGCATCATCAGTTGCTGGTCAGAGTTTCAGAACAAAGGCCCTCTTCAGAAATGTAGAATTTCCTTCACGAAAAGGACAGTTTTAATTTAATATTTAGAGATTTGGTACAGTTACATCTGAAACATTTTATTTTATTTTTTATTTAGTTCAGAGAAAAAAAGACACAGAAAAGAAAAACAAAAAGAAAAGAGACAACAACAAATCCAAAATAGTAACAGTATAAGGTTTACAAAACAAGATGATAGGAATTTAACAAAGGTTGTCATACGACATGTTGTTACCCTCCAAAGGGCTGCTTAGATGGTCAGACATAGACATGCAAAATTCATCTGAAGCATTTTAATGGGACTACTGTGGTGAAGCAGCTCTGACTGGAAAGGACAGATTCACGAGTTTGCACCTTGTAGCAGCATCCCTCTCTGGCTTGGAGACAGCTGTTGAACCCTGCCATAGATGAAGACATTCAGTGTTGGAGGGAAGATCACCAAAAGAAGGAGAGCTTCAATTGGCTGCTCGCTACACCATGATTTAATGGTGTTGATTTGGGGAAAGTATTTAACCTCACCTCACAGTTAAAATGAAAGTAATATAATGCCTTCAGATACTTGGACACTGAAAACCGTGGTGATTCTCTGGGCACCTCCGACAGCAGCATCCCCTCATAATTGACGATGTGATAGAAATGAGGCCATTGATTGGGGTGGGGGGACATTTGTGGTAAACCAACAGTAACTGAAAGTTATTCAATTCGTTAACTTAAAGAAGAAGGTATTTCAAGTTTGTCTCCTGTTACTCTCAGTGATTTTAGTGACACCTTAAAGTATACATGTGCAAAAGTCTTCTATTTCTGTTAAATGGAGAATTTAGAATGTTTCTTTGTAGAAGGTTAAATTCCTCTACAAAGAATTTAACTCCAAAATATGAGTGGACCACTATTCAAATAAAAATATTCAGGAGTTAAAAGATCAGTCTAGGACTCAAAGCCAATCACAATAACTCTGCTTTAGGATAATTAATATTTTATGTGAAAATGGGTTCAGTTCACCAGGCATGGTGCCGCATACCTGTAATCCCAGCACTATGGGAGGCTGAGGCAAGAACATTACAAGCTCTTTTTTTTTTTTTTTTTTTTTTTTTTGTAATCCATACTGGGGATCGAACTCACGACCACACACTTGCAAGTAGATGCTTGTGCCACTGAGCTAAATCCCCAGCCCCAAGCATTATAAGCTTAAGCATACCTTGGGCACTTTAGTGGTTTAGCAAGACTCTATCTCAAAATAAAAATTTAAAAAGGCTGGAGACATAGCTCAGTGTAAAGACCTTGTATTCTATTCAAAGTAAACAATAAAAAGGAGGAGGAGGAGAGGGAGGGAGTCGAGGGAGAGGAGAAGAATTGTTTTGTCCATCAATCCTAGTTTCCATTATGAGTCCCTCCTTTTTAGGGTACCTCTCTTTACTACCATCCTTCACTTACTTTACCTAAGGGAAAATAAAAGACTTTAATACTGAATACATCGTAGAATGTTCAGGAAATGGTATGAAAAAGCTTTAATGACCCATTTATGTAATTTTTAAAATATGATTCTACCGTTAGGTGTTCTTTGCACATTATAGGTGTATAAATGCAATGCCTCAGATTCCGAATGGAATTAGTGTGCTCCGTGCAAAGTTCTGGATCAGTGCAGACTCCTCGGCTTCTGATGAACACCCATTCCCCACGAGCACCAATATTTCTAGAGACAAGACAGTCACTGTGCCGCCATAAAAATCACCAAAATTAATCACAAAAAATCACCAAACAGTAATCTTTGAGCATTTTACTTAGCACTTCAAATTCTTGTAAAGGCTTTGCATACAAATTATTTCTTACATTTTTATTAATGTATGTTACAATACATACGGAACACATTCACCATGAGGAGTTGGTAAATATCCGTACCTAATCTCAGTGCTTTTTATCTCCTCTTCCCCTGCGCTTTCCCTTTTCCCCTCCATCACTAGAGCTACTTTCCATCTCCCCGTTTCCTATTGTCTATCTTTTATTTTGCTCTTTAAACAATTTATACTTTCAGTTCCTTTTATAGGAGACTGTATGTGATATTTTATTTTCTGTGTTTGATTTATTTCACTTATGGTCTAAAGGTGCATTCATTTTCTTACAAACGACTCAAATTTATCCTTCCTTATGGATAAGAAGTCTTTCATTGTCCGCATTTTCTTTATCAATTTATCTTCTTACAAACACATAGACCACTTCCAAGATTTAGCTACTCTGGGTTGTGCTGCTGCAAACACACGTACCATGTGTCACCGTGGCATGAGGTCTTAAACTCTCTGGGGAAGATATTCAGGAGAGGTACATCTGGGTTGCATGAAGTTTGTACTCTTAGTGTTTGGAGAGATCTCAGTACTGATTTTCATAGTGCTAATTTACATTTCCACCAGCATAGAAGGATTTCTGGCCTCAATACACTAAGTGCTCTTTTCATCTCTACAGATGGAGAACATAAAATGGTAAGATTAAGCAGCTTTTGAAAGGATATAATGTTAAAAAATTTACACATCAATTTGAATTGTTATATGCTATTTATTATTCCAGCCATTATATATCACACTATTTAACATTCAGTTTCTAAATATAGTAGTTCCAATAGAGCATGGTAGCACATGCTTATAATCCCAGCACTCAGAAGGCTGAGGCAGGAGGATCACCATGAGTTCCAGGATATCCTGGGCTACCTTGTGATTTCACAGGTATCTCAAACTGGAAAGTGAGACCCTGTCTCTAAATACAAAACAAAACACAAAAACCACACTATAAACAAGTAAATATAATAATTTTCTGTGGGAGACAATTTGAGTGACTCCCCTTAAATGTAAAACAGTTGATGCAACTTTGATTATATTGACACATTTTTTACACTGATATGTATAGAGCTGATTATGGTATTTTTTCTTTAATTGGCTCTGAGCATTTTAAATAAGGCTAGCTGAAATGCTGATATGTAATTCCTAAAGCCAACAGACAGTCTCTTGTTTCCTCACATAGTGTTTTCTGTAAAATATGTGAGCACAGCAGGATGGTAGAGCCATCAGCTCCAGGAATGTCAACCAGTAAGAGCCTCAAGACAAAGAGGTTATGAGTCTCAAGGGCGCATAAGTTTACATATCAGAAACTGAAGCCTCCAAAAACAATTGAGTTGCTATGCTAATTAAATTATGCAAATTGTTCTTTCTGCATATCATTATCTCTGCATTTTACAAAGATGCTTTTTTCACTACCTGGCCAGCCAGCTCAAGTTACTCACGTTGTTCCCACCATCCTCACTGTCACTCATCCTCAAGCTCCTCCTTCTTCACAAAATAATAAATTCTTGGAGAGGCCTAAGATCAGGACCTTTGTCTGCATGTCCTCAATGAGATCGGGCCAAGGCGCCCTTTGCTGCCCTTAACTTTAAATATGTCTTGGTATCTTTACTTTCTTTGTGGCTTGCATTGGAGGTGGTAGATTAAAATTAACTTGCCAGGATTCCAATAACACCTTAGTGGGATTATAAATATAATTTTTTGGATTGTGAGGAAGACTAGAAAAGGGATTACAATACTTAGATTACCATACTAAAAATTTGGGATTACAATAATTCTCCTTTTATTAAAATTATTCATATCATACAAATGGCAAATAAATATATGAAAATATTTTCAGTACTATTGATCATTTGAGAAATGCAAATTAAAACAACACTGAAACTCCATCTTACCCCAGAAAAATGGCTTTCATCAAGAGATCAACTAATAACACATGTTTGTGGGGCTGTGAGGTAAAAGGAACCCTTCTCCACCATTATGCGGACTGGTGCAACCACTCTGGAACCAGTGTGGAGTTTCCTCAAAATCTTAGAGGTCTCATTCCAACTAGCTATTTCCCTTTGGGTATCTTCCCAGAACAATTAAAAGCATCATACCACAGTGATATATGTGCACCCATGTTTATAGCAGTATAATTTGTAATAGCTAAATCTTGGAAACAAGCTAAATGCCTATCAACTGAGGAATGGATAAAAAAGGTGTGGTATTTTTATACAATGGAGTGCTACTTATCCATAAAGAAGGATAAACTTGAGAGTGATATAAGTGAATGAATGCAACTTGAGACCATATTCATAAGTGAAATTAATCAGACTCATGTGTGTAAGCACCATATTGTCTCCCTGGTGTGAGACACTGAAAGAGTAAATAAGTTCTAAGATGTACAATAGATATTGTGAAATGACAAGAAATTGTTCAAAAGGAACTAGGAAGTGTGAAAGAGGAAAGGACAGTAGAGAAAGGGGGAAAAAAGCAAGTCAGTTATACTCTTAGTGTCTATTAGTTCATTAAAAAGGAAAGTTTGTGCTAATATCAATTGGAGAAATTTTTATGCCCATATCTTGTATCCTAAGCAACTACTTTAAAGATAACATTGTGTATCAACTATTGTTATTCAATGATTATTTTGTTATAAAATTTTTCTTTGTCTTTTTGCATGAAAGCAAAAAATTATTTCTATCACTCTTCTCCCTAAATATGTAGCAACATATCATATAATTTGAGGCAGGTATGTGCAGCAACTTTAATTCTTTCCAATCTTCTCTTCATCACTACCCTTCTATCAAATTGACAAGATTTGCTTTTATCTTATGAAATGGTTCCTCTGGATCTTGTACAAATCTCCTTGTTTAGGAATTCAATCTATCAAGATTCTCAGCATAATATGGTATAAATTTGATCAACTCAGAAGAGAATAAAAAGGGCACCCCACTTACTTTGGAAAATATATTTGTATTAATATGAGAAATTTTAAGTTTCATGGAGAACTTGTGTATAATTCACCATTGGCTTTTGATATGAGAATAAACTATTC